AGCTCATTTTCAAGCCATTTCAAAGTAACTCGAAACAACTTAGTTATCCAATCTATAGCAAAGACAATTATATTTTATTTTTCATATAGTATGTTCAATTAAATTATGAAATAATAGAATATATAAGGATAAATAATTTTGAAACAATAGGAAGTTGATTATTGTGGAGAATAATGAATTAAATAGTATGTGTATGGCACAAATTAATTTGAATCAAACTCAAATGACAAACTTGAAACAATGCAAGAGTAACATAATTTGACAATTTTTTTGAATAAAAATAACATTAACTTGTAAGTTGAGAATCAAGCTCAAGATTAATCCAGGAACGGCTATAATTGATTCCAAATTGATTTAAATTTGTGGGCGTTTTGATCAAATTTCAAAGTTGGATTAATGTTATCTTCCCTTCAGGTCCATTATATGAAAGGTAGGGATATTGTTGAGGATGTGGCTTTCAGACTTGATATCAATGGTTTTTTTCAAAATTGAGAAGTGTTCAGTAGTCTATTTGATAAAGAAATATGATCGTGTCATAATGGTAAATTATAAAGGAAAAATTACATCATACCATTCAAGTCCTATGTATTTGCATATCTAATGTTTAAACTTCAATTTTTACATACATACACTTTTGCAAGAAAAGGTGTGTTTTCACTTAAAAGTTAAAGTGGTATTTTTGCTGTGATACAAAATATTTGGGTGGTATAAATGTAAAAACAAAATTTATGTGTTAGATATATAAATACATAGAAATTGGATGGGACCTAATTATAAATTCTAATTTCTACTGTCCTATCCAGCATGGTTTGAGTGGAATGGAAACACATTGATATTAATGTTGTATTCTAATATTTTTGTGAGGGCATTCAATCTTTCACATTCAGGATCTGGTAATTTTTTTCATTAGCTTAACCTATTATGATGATTAAAACTTAATGGCAACTCGGCTTCAATAGTGACCAATGATCTTTAGCTAATGATAGTTGCTTGGAAAGGATGCCAATACCAAATTAGATCATGTGATAGAAAAAGTGTTCAGCAGTGTATGACTTTTAAGTGTTCATCACTGATCGCCATTTAAAAGATATGATAGTACGGTTAAAGATATCTTGGGTCTATTGTTCAAAGTGATGGTGATATAGATGGGGATGTTATTATTAGAATTCAAATTGGTTGGTTGAAATGCATCAGGCCTATCATGTGATAGAAAATTATCGCTTAGAATTGAAGAAAAATTTTATATGATAATGATTAGGCTTGCAATGCATTATGGGTAGAATAGTGCCCTTTAAAAGAGAAGCATAAAACTAAGTATTGCTAAGTTAAAGTATTGCTGAGATGAGAATGTTTAGTTGGAGGAGAGTGGCTTGGCAATTAGAGACAAAATGTGAAATGAATGTATCCATAGATTTGACTTATCTTAAGAAAGGTAGAGGTAGACCTAAAAAGACTTGGGCATATTGTATAAAAAATGATCTTAATTTATTAGAATTAAATGAAAATATTACACTCAATAGGACACAAAGGAGAAAAAGGATTAATATAACCGCCCAAACTTAGTGGGATAAAGACTTTTTGTTGTTGTTGGCAGAAATAAGAATAATAACATTGACGTGTAGGAAAAATAAAAAGCATAATGGTATAAATGTTAGATAAATGTTGGATTAGCATCCACTGAACTTATTTTAATAAATAGATTGAAGTGGGTCTATGCATTTAGGAGGATAGAAAATGCACCAACAAAAGATGTATATAGAATTTGCATAGAATGGAGTAATAAGAGAAATGGGTAGGCCAAAGTTTATATGACTAGAAGTTGCAAAATAATATATTTATAAAAGAGAGCTAACACTTTATTTAACACTCAACCGTAATGAATGTTGACGAATGGTAAGGGATATTACTAATGATGATGAAGAAGCTTTATTGTGGTATGTTTCATCTGTGTGGTAAGCTGATCCCAATTAAGCAGAGATAAGAAGAAATGATGATGATGATGATGAACTTGAAACGATCAAAACTCTCTCTCCTTGGTGATGAAATTTAACACGTCTTTAAGTTTATGGTGGAAGATGCGACAAAATCGATGCACATCTATAGATTAATGGTGATGATTTGGGTTAAGCTTGCATCAAACATCTTTATTATAGATATTTGCTTACAATTTTAACGATATGTGTGTATGTTTACTTGCATATCATTGTTTGTCTGCAATAATATACAAACATTTTCAAGTATGTTTTTAGTATATCTTTATATCGGGAGATGTAAAGGCTTGCATATGTGCATATATGATTAGGGAACAACAATGTACTTCTTATTATCTCAATAATAATTTAAATCCTCTTTGGGATCACTTTTTGTTTTCTATTTTTTATTTTTGAAAATTAAAAAAAAAGAAAACAAACTCAAAAACATTGTTTGTTTATTCGTAATTTATTTATTTTTTAAAAAACATATAAGACTTGTTTTCAAAACATAAAAAATACATAAATTGTCTTTTTACTGTTTTAAAAACATGTTTTTCGGAAAATTACCCGTGCGAGGATTCTCCATCCGTTGCCCGTCAACTGCTAGTTGTCGTCCACCCCTGTCCACCTCTGCCTGTTGCCGGTCCCGTTGGTCGCTGCCCCTACCCTCTGCCCGGCACTGCCTACGCAGGTAATGCTTCGTGTTGGGTGGAGTAAGGAAGACGTCGTATACGCAATGGGCGGCGAAGCTTAATACTGGAATGTCGCGTAGGCCCTAACTGTTTAATAAAAAGTATAATTTTTTTCTTTAAAATAAAATATCCAACCAAACATGTTTTATATTTTTTATTTTTAAAATAATCTTAATCATAACATTGTCAACCACATTTTCTAAAATAAAAAAAAATAGAAAACAAAATGAAAACAAAGTAGGCTAAAAACAAAAATAAAAATAGAAAATAGAAAGTGATTCCAAATCGACTCCTAACTTTTTTGTCCCCGAAAATAAGGATGTGAACAAGTTTGGGGGAAAAGGATAGGTTGCAAGGAAGCTCCAAAAAATAGGGCACAAAAGAGTTTTCATGCTTTTGCAAGTTCCACTAATATCTATGACCGCTTAGAGAAATATTTTTTCAGTCCAAAAAATGAGTTACTTGAAATAATATTTACAAACCTCAAATATTTTCACTAAATCTTTCTAGCTTTTCTTTTCTCTTACTCTCTCTTTTTTATTTCTTCTTTCTATAACTATTGATTCCATAGCAAACTCTAACTAAGCCCAAATTAACAGTTTTCTTCATATGTATATAAATATGAATATGATGCAAAACCAACATATGTATAAGATTAAAGCCTAGGGCATTATATCAAGATCATCATTTTTCTTAGTTTTCAAAATAGCATGATCAAACATCAGTTGACCACTTGGATTATTTTTAAGATGTGCTATAAATTAAGACCACTTCAACTTTGAAAAGAGCTTGGCGAAGCCAAATGTGATGAAATTCAAAACAATTTTCTCTTAACGATTCATGGTTAGCCCCTATAAGAAGCTTCATGAAAATTGCTACCGTTCATTTTATTATTTTTTTTTTTGGTTTATATTTGGACTACGTACAAGTACAGTCTTTTGAAGACATATTGAATGACTTACAGTTTGTTTGCTTGTGTGCAAATTATGGTGATGGGAATCTAAGTGAAACTTTGGTGAGTTCATTGGTTTTGTTTGTGCTTACTCTCCCTTTCTCTTTACCTTTAAGTCTATCCTTAAATCCTATGCCTAGCCATCTTATTCTCTCCCTCTAAAACCCTAAAGCAACCTCAAAATGCCTCCACAGTACTCGCTTTCCTACTACACATCAAACACCCTTAGAAGAGTAGCCCTCAGATTCTTCCCTTTTTCATGATGAACCTTAATCCACTCCACTCCACGATACTCTATATTTCTCTCACATAACTTTTAAGTCATCTTAACCCCTTGGCAATTTTCCAAACAGCTATACCTGAGCATGGCCTCCCTTCATAACTAAAACAAAATAATTCACTGAAGTTTTATAGCTCTTGGCAGCCCCATCCAGTCATAGACCACCCAACTTCCGCAATTCTTCCATGCGCAGCTCTTCAGCCTTCCTCTCTCTTGTTTTTTAAGCCCTTCGATCATGGACCAAAGTTGCTAATCATCTACAACTATCGATTCTTGAAACCACCGATGACCTTGTTAGCCTCCAAATCTCTTCAAATGTCAACTCATCTTGCAGCTAGTCATTAAGTTGCACCCATCGGAGAGTAACAACCATCATTTGCAGATCTCTTCTTCTTCTGCTTGCCAAAGAATTCACCATGGTTATTGGACACCTCTAGCCACAAACCCATAAGCTTCTGCAACTTGCTTCCACCATGCAGAACTTTTGAGTCGCGCTTCTCATGCCAATAGCCATCTGCTGCTCACCACTACATTGGCCAGTCACCAGGGAGTGAATCCTCATTCACCCAATCCTCTGTAAGTCCTAGCTTGTCCTTTTTGCTTGCATGCTTCTCTTTTAAGAACAGAGGCACTGAAGCTGGATAGTATTAGGAAACAAATATGCTGATATAAATACAATCATATTATGGTTGTCACAAATAAAAGCTCGAGTTGGTAGAGAACAATAATTCTGATATTTGGAGAGAACATTGATTAGAGAAAACTCAACTCCAAATGAATTTTCCGGACCAAATTTATGTCTAGTCCCCGCTTAATCTAAATTTTGTGCAACCACTTTATTTATTTGCTCACTGTTTCATATATAGCATTTTAGTTTCTTGCATTGCTTGCTGCTTTTGCCGAAGGAATTTTCTTTTCATATTTAAAGATATTAGAATATTATAATAATTACATGTTCTTTCATGCATATGGTTTTTGCAATATAAAAATGCATATCTTTGATGCGCGGTACTTATTATCTTTTATTTGTATTGTGCTCAACTTCGTGCTAATATTTTTCTGGTTTATGTTAATCAAAATATTTTTTCTCTGATTATTTTCAGAGGTAATTTGAAACGAAACAAAAATGGGTGAAGTGATTGATTTAACTGGTGATGGAGGTGTTCTCAAAACCATTATTCAGAGAGCCAAGCCAAATGCTACAGGACCAACAGAGAGTCTTCCTGTTGTTGATGGTAATTTTTCCATTTTTCATCATTAAAGGCATAGAGTTATTATTTTGTATAAGTTTTAGGACAGTAGCTTATGAAATTCTGCATACTTATTAAGACGTAAGGGATCTACTGTGTACAATCAGTAAGTTTTTTCCTCTCATATTTTCAGAAAAATTGAACACTCATTTTAGTTTTGTGATCGGAATGCACCTACAGTTGCCTCTTACTCTAGAGCAAGGCATTTTGATTTTCAAGCAAGCTTGGCCTTATTTACTTTATTTAGCTTGATTGCTGAATGGCGTTCTATATAATTGTCTGTCTTTTTAGCCAACTTACACTATTATCAATAAAATCTTTCGATAGTTCGCTATGAAGGAGTTCTTGCTGAGACTGGCGAGGTTTTTGATACCACTCGCGAAGACAACACAATTTTTACATTTGAGCTTGGAGCAGGCACTGTTATCAAGTCTTGGGACATAGCTTTGAGAACCATGAAGGTATGATTGTAAATTGTCATTCAATGAGCTTTTGATTTCATCACTACCTCTGCTGCTGATATTAAAGAGGGTTAATTACAAACATGGCACTCAAAACTATGCTGTTTCCAAAACTAGCACTCTCTTTCATCTATTCTTCAAATTCTCTCGCAAATATCAAATTCACAATAAAATCTCAACCCATATTTATCATTTTTATCAAATTCTCGATTGTTTTATTGTGGCACGCATAAATGCACTGGTTTGATGGTTCAAAATAATTACACGGGTGCTAGTTTTGTAAATAGCGAAGTTTCAAGTACTGTGCATGTAAATATGCCTATCAAATATGGTTTTAAATATTGGATCTTTCATTCTTTGAAGATTGGGGAGATTGCGAAAATTACTTGCAAGCCAGAATATGCTTATGGAAGTGCAGGTTCTCCTCCGGAGATACCTCCAGGGTGAGGCACATAAGATGCGGGGTTTGTCATTGTTATATACGGAAATTGCTTCCCATAAATGTTTTATTGAGGGGGGGATTAAGTTTTTGGATCAGTTGAACTTACTATAGCTGCTTCTTGTGAGTGCAGTGCGACACTTATCTTTGAGGTAGAGCTTGTTGCGTGCAGGCCTATAAAAGGTGCAAGTATTGGTGGTGTTTCTGATGAAATGGCAAGACTTGAGTAAGTAGAATCTCTCCCTGCAATTTCTCTTTATAGCACACTTGCACAACCATGTTCTAACAAGATAATGCAAACGTCCGAGGGTCTGTTTGGGGGCAGGTTTTTTACTTTATTGCTATTCAAACTATTGCTACTAGGGGTGTGAGTGAGTTGAGCCGGTTCTATCTCAACTTGTTAATGTGCTCGTGAGTCGAGTTTATCGATCCGCGAACTTGAACTCGAGCTTAGATTCGAGCTCGTATATTTTTATTGGTTCGAGTTTGAGCTTAGTCAGACTTTTAGCTCGAGAGCTCGTCAAGTCAGATCGATTAATTTTTTTTTGCTAGACCTTAAATTTTCAAAATACTTTTTTATCAAAATAAAGCTTTCGAATCAAGTTCTAGATGGTTCTAGATGGGCATAACTGCCACAGCCTTGAGCCCGAGCTTTGAGTCTATCATACATTTCATGAGTCAAGCTTGAGTTTAGTGCAGATCAAGCTCGAGTCGATTCGTTTACACATCGAATTGCCACACATTCATTTGACTACTAATTTCATAATATTTTCTGTAATTTTTGTGATAGGAACTTGCTTTTAAGAATGAGATCTGCTGAAGTGGAGTAACTATAAAAAAATGGATGTATGATTTTTTTCAGGCTAAGAAAATATTTATGATGCTCGCATGAACTTTTCAAAAGCTTTGATTTCATGATAGAAATTTTACTACCACGTTTATAAAAAACCTGCTCTAAATGCAGCCTAAATTTAAATTTTTGCTGCATTGTAATGTCACAACCTCATTCTATAAGGCTACACTTCTTCCTTGAAAAGGTCCATGGTATATTAATTTAGCCACTTATGAAGGTGGAAAATATTTAGCTAGAAATTTCTGGGCTAAGTCACTTCATGTCTTATTTAATCGAAGTGCTAACGAGTTTAACCACATATTGGCTCTATCTCTCAAGAAAAAAGGGAAAAAGCCTTGGCCTAAAAGTGTCATTGGAAACACCGTTATAGCAAAATGTGGCACAAAGTTCTAAGAAACTCGTTAAGTGAAGATTTTGATCTTCAGTTGAGGTTTCCTGAAATTGGCTGTTCTACATTATTTGGATTATAGCAGACTTTAGTTTGAATGCGTTAGCTTCTTAGAGTATTTTGTTTTTTGTAAGTTATCGTAGTAATTATTGGTATTCTTATGATGTATGTTGTTGCATTGACATATATTTCAACATTGCAGAGAAGTGAAGAGGCAGAGGGAGATCGCTGCAGGGTTAAAGGAAGAAGAGAAGAAAAAGAGAGAAGAAGCAAAAGCTGCTGCTGTCGCTCGAGTTCAAGCCAAGTTGGATGCTAAGAAAAGCCATGGGAAAGGCAAGGGGAAGGGCAAGTCTTTATAATGCTCTTTACCTACAGTATTTACTTTTTAAACAATAATAGGCAGTAAATATTGTTGGCCATTTGCACAAAAAGGGTGGGACACATTTTGGCAATCTTATATTTATTTTTTGAAAAATGGAATAAATCTTCATGTCTCTTTTGGCACCTTTAAATTATATATATATATATATACAGTGATTGGATATTTGTTGGCTTTTAAATATGATGATAGGTTATATTTTTTATATAATGAATTGCTTTTTAAGATAACTAGTATGGAGCTCGCCTGAAGAAACAAAGGCGAAAATGTGGGGATTGAATACATATCGCACAATTTTGTATATTTATATATCTAACATATTACTTTAATATTCATAAAGCATTCAAAATTTTTAAATGACAAACATATCATTAGAATAAACATCTTTCATGCATATATATCAAAATTTTTAAATGACAAACATATCATTAGAATATGCTTCTTTCATGCATATATTTTAATTTAATTTGATTGAATTATTAAAGTGTTATCTTAGTTAATATTTATATTAGATATGTAAATATAGAGAAATTGTGGTATCTATGTAACAACAACAAGAACAACGAGCCTTTATCCCATTAAGTGGGATCGGCTATATGAATTTTCTCCATAGCATCCTATTGAGTGCCGTAAATCTCCTATTGTCGTATTAATGTAAATTCTAATAAAAATCTAAAAATGATTTGAGGTGATTGTATATTTTTTTTATTTTTACTTTTATTTATTTATTTTTTGCAATGGTGATTGTGAAGTTAGCTTTGAGAAAATATTTTTTTAAAAAAAATTGCAATTATATGTTTTTCAAAACACAGTTCACAGCTCTTGCACTCATTATATTTTAACAAATTTAGTTTCTAAAAGTAGTTATTTATCACATAATTCTCCAAATAGAATGGTGGTGATGATTGGGAACATAACATTGGCAGAGAGTTATCTCATATATGCAAAATGAAGATTAAATTCATTTAGTATGTAAAATGGACAGCATTTTCTTGGAATCTATTACCTTATTCTCTCCTTGCTTCCAAAGATTAAATTTTGGACTGTTATTTGATGTGGACCAAGCTTGTGTAAGAATATAGTTGAGGGTAAATGCGCTTCCCACATCCTAAAAATGATAAGAGTACTTTGGGAAAGAAATCCAAGAAGGAACCATGTATAGAAGTGATACAAGAAAATGTTTTTCATAATTAATTTCTACATTGAGATCTATTTCATAACTCTGCTATTAATAATAATAAATGTATCAAAATGGTCCTCTGACTCTTTATAGGTTGCCATTGTAGCCCCATAGTCTATAAAAGCATCATTTTAGTCTTCGGAGTCTCTTAATTTGGGTACTAATTTTGACACTTTTATAGATTTTGGAACTAAGAAGAACCCATGAAAAATAGTCAGGACTATTTTGACACTATATTAATAATATTTTATGCCAAAAAAAAAAAAATCTCAATACAAAATAAGTGGTGATGCACATATAAGAAATTTATAATGGATTCTCCCAAAATTTATAATGCTTCACGAACTGTCACTATAGAGTCCACTTCTGCAAAATCTGTTTATCCCAAACTGTCCACCATTTTTTTAATGGAGGAGTATGATCCAATAGCAGCACATAAGACTCCAAAAATAATAATAAAGATGCAGAACACCACCTGAAAAATAAGGTCAAAACAAAAATAATGTTTTTCAGCTCTTCATTTTTTTTTTTTTTTCTTGATGTGCTAAATACTATAATATGGAAATTATCTTCATACCTCTATAATAGGTACAGATTTTCTTTGAATGCTCAGATAGCATAAACAAGGAAAAATAAGAGCCTGCCATAGCACCATCAGTACAGATAAGTCATTTTTTTTAAATAAAAATAAAGCCTTTATAGTCATAATCAAATCTTACCACTAACATAGTGAAAAAGGATCCAAGCAATGCCATCACAAAACCTGGAACAGCAGATAAGAAATTAAATTTCAGCTAAGCAATGAGCCGTCCTTCAAATTATTTACATGATGTCATTTTAGCCCGACTCTATAGAAGTATCATATTAATCCCCAAATTCCTTAATGTCATCCGAAATAATCCATCTTTTAAATAGTCTGAGAATTATTTCAGCCAAAATTTAAAAATTTGGGGTCTAAATTGACAATTTCATAAAGTCTCGAACCAAAATGAGCTCCCGTAAAAAGTCAATGATCATTTTAACACTTTTCACGACACAAATATGTTTTCATATTTTCATAGCCAGATGAAGAGCTTCATAAAAGTAATTTCTAACCAAAAAATGGAAACACAAGCGCCACATATAATGTGGAGATGACCAGCAGTGTTCTGATCACGAGAGCCATCAAAAAGGATTTTCGATTTGAAGGCAAGAGCTCCTCAAGGCTCGCTGCAACCGGGGTCATGGTCAAAGCATACTTAGAGAGTGGATTCACAACCTGAAAAAACATTATAGCCAATCCAAAAACGCTAAAATAAACAGTTTAAACTAATTGAGCTCACTAACCAAACCAAAAGAAAAACATAAAAAATTATTTTTCATGGTTTGTACCGTCGTCCAAATTGCAATCTTCGAAGAAACATATCGACGAGGCATGTTTAGCGTAAACTGTGACTTGAGGGATTCTCCAAACATCAGAAATCCAACTGATGCTACAGCAGCATATACTACTGTACATAAAAAGAAGCTGAAAAAGAAAACTACTATAAAACCAATACTTGAGGAAGCTTCTATAGTAATTTAGAACGAAATTGCAGAAAAAATAAAGTTCGATGATGTATTATGCATACCAAACCATCAGAACTTTTGAGAATTGAGCAGGGTCTGTCATGGAAGAATAGATGTTAGGGAAGACAGAATGTCCTGAGTAGCAGAAGCTGAAGAGCCCAAGAGAAACTGGAAGGTTTGTGAGGTTCAGTAGAGTCCCTTCTGCATGAAAGCCCACTCCATCTGCTACACCGTCCCAGAATAAGCACAACACGACCAAAATTGAGGCTATCACACCTCCAACTGAAAGAAGAGACCTTAAAGCATGAATATTTATGTATCAAAATGAAGGCAATGGAGGTCTGACATTGAAGGGGAAAATATGAAATGTGATTGGATTACAGTGCTACCTGAGAGGAATGAGAGCAGACTAAGATCTCTGAGCCAGACGGTGGGAAGAACAGCTGCTGCTGCGGTGACAGCAAAAGTTTGGTGGGAGGTTAGGCTAATCCCCAGTAAATTTACTTCAGTGTTTGGAAAAATTGAGGACAAGCTATCGCTCACTAGAATAATGTGTTCTACACAACAAGCCTGCAAAGCAGTGTGAATTTTCATTCAGTCTCATGATTAATTGAAACAATAGTAAATACGTTCAAAAGTTCTTACATAAAGCTCCAGGTATAGGATTATCTGCATGAAACGAATGGAAATATTAGAGATTAATAGGAATCATGAGGTAGTTTCCACTAATAAATAGAAAAATGAAGACAGCTTTGAAGGAAAGATGGGTTTTACCCAACTTTGACAGAGAGATTATCGGTTACTAATTCATTCATTACTCTTCGAACATGGCAGACCAGAAATTAAAAAGTTTAACATAAACTTGGTATTGACAATAGATATTGAGGTTTATGTCGATAACGAGCATCAACTTACAGGTGACGCCATGCATCAATATCGGCATCAATCTTATTAGTGATGGCGGGCGTCGAGTATGATGCTGACAACAAGCCTGGAGGTTGATGAGACAATGAGCATCGACTACATTAGTGATGGCGTACATTAATACTAGTACAAATGGAGTGTATTAACCTTATTAGTGATGGCATGTGTGAACGCCATGCATCTATTATGTTTGTGTGTGTCAACATTGGTCTTGGCGACGGGAGTTAGCTTATTGAAGATGGTGTGTATCAAAGATTTAGACTTATAAAACAAACATAAATTAACTACCAAAGGCGGATAACAATATGTCCAAGACTTCTAGTTGTGTTTTAGCATAAACAACATTATAATCAAAACATTTACCAATGGACACAGTTTAATCTTCGGTAATAACATCCATTTCTTCAAAGAAAGTCACTTTTCAATGTAATTCACTATAACAACAAAATAAAACACTAAATGAAATCCAGTCTTCATTATAAGCTTTCAATGGAGCTCTCAATGGGAAAGCTCCTTAAAATGCAGAATTTACATACATACAACACAATTCTTACATATTTACCAATTTAACACCTAAAATTTGATATTTATATGCGTATCACTCAATCGTTAACATCAGATAAAAAAAATATCACAATCACTAAATTTTTAAAAGAAAAAAAAGCGCGTTTTCATGCATAGATTTATAAGTCGAGCAACTTACAGAGATGCAAAGCCTGCCAGGCGACCCGAACGCCGCCTGACCAATATCAGGATAGGTCAGCAAAGCCGGGGAATTATCAAGGCATCTCTTCAATAGAATCCCAGTGTAGCAGGAAATCAACCCTAGAAGAACCAGAAGCGCCAACCCTAGCCAGCCCCCTTCCTTTACAGCATAAGGCATCGTGAGCAATGCCACGCCGCAGAGAACATTGATCCCTAAGAAGCGAGATTCAGATCAGACCAAACAAACAGAGTGACGTTCGATAAACTAGGGGGCAACTTCAAGCATACCGTTGAATATGGCTTGGGAGGTGGAGCAGCGAGGAGGAGGGGGGAGAGCGGAGGGGTAGTAGAACGATGCGGGCTTTGAGGGAGGGGTGGCGATAGAAGAGGGGTCGGTGGTGGTTGTGATAGAATGAGAGATGAGGGGCTTAGTGAGTAGTTGATAATGGTGGTGGTATTGGTCATCGTTGATGGGTATTCCGCTGCGGAAGAATGAGCTGCCCAGTTGAAGGAGGCTTGATCCGGGGAGAAAGCCGGCGCCCGGAGAGGTAACGGTGCTTAGAAGATCAATTGATTCCCTATAAAACAGAATGTATCAATAAAAAGACGAATTTAACACATCGAAGTCAAGATGGCCGAGTTGGACTAAGGCGCCAGTTTCAGGTACTGGTCCGAAAGGGCATGGGTTCGAATCCCATTCTTGACATCTATTTTTCTAAAAATTACAGTTTATTTTTTTCATACGCAGTGAGAAATTACTTTTTGTTTTCAATCTCTGCCCCCATTTCTGACGGACGCTTTTATTAGCAATTTAATTTCGTATTATTAACAAATGTGATTAATCATTTTGCAACATCAATCAATCATTTTAGCGATAATTGACTAGATGCAAATGAATTTTTAGTTGTATTGCAAACTTTGGCTTTTATTTGTATGTATTTATTAAATAAATAATAAAGCAAGTAATTTTTTATTTAGTAATTAAATAAATTTTAAAAAAAAACAAATGAATTTTTAGTTGTATTGCAAACTTTGGCTTCTATTTGTACGTATTTATTAAATAAATAATAAATGCAAGTAATTTTTTATTTAGTAATTAAATAAATTTAAAAAAAATTTAATCCTACAAATTGAATTTAAATGAAAATAACAGATATGATGTGATAGTTACATTTAACTGATTGGGACAATACATATATTATGGACCCTTCATGCATGTAATCAGGCTCACATCATGTCAATATTTAAATTATTTTATTAATTACTTAATTTTAATTAAAATAATTATATTGAAATTTTTGCCTTCCTATCATACTCGCATTTAAAATCAATTATAAAATGTGATCTCTAAATCGAATTTTAGAATTTGGTTATGAAATTATTTGATCATCAGCTTCATAAATTCATTAAATGATTATCATCACTGATCACCATTCGTCCGATGACAACCTTACTTACTGCCACCATTCGCCAAGAATACTAATATTTATTTAGTAGAAGTTAACTTTTCACCACCAATTCATCCAAGTTAGATTTCATAGTTATTTCTCTTTCTGGTTCTTCATATAAATTTTTTTATATTTGTTGTAACTTTTGCTTATCTTTAGCTTAAAATAAATTTCATGATGATGAGACTCATTTTGATAACAATTTAGTAAGATAATCTTAAGCTATGTTTTCTTTGTGGGCCGAGGGCTATATGAGTTTTGATCATCCCTCATGCCCCTAAGAATTCGAGTACCCCACCGTACACTCGGGGAGAACGGAACCCCAGATCAGATGAAATTTACAAGCAGATGCCCGACCAACTGACTTGAATATGCAGAGCTATATATATCTAACAAATAAACTTTTTGTGTGATCCAATAAAAATGTTGGAAACGAAAAGTTCGAAGTTCTGCATGCCAACAACAAAATAAACATAAATTGATGTTTTTTTATAAATATACAAAACATAGTAATTACCCAAAAAATCTAATAAATCTACGTTGAAGTTTTATTTAAGTTTACAATGTGAGGAAATTTACTTACAGCAGGAA